TAAAGTTACTGTAGTTTGATATACTATTGTTTAATAACAGAGGTGTTCATGTAAGAATGCACAGATCTATAATGAAGCATTCGACTACTTTAATAACTGTTTGTGCTCATTTAAGAGAAAATTAGTTGTGTTTAAAATAAAACATGCAGGACGAAAAAAAATAAAAAATGAAAAAAAAAGCAGTTTTCCGACGGTCCCTTTCTGAGAGCTCCGCTCTGCGCAAGCTCTACTGGCTAAATGCAGATTGCGAGGGCTCAAACGGAGCAGGGCTCGTAATGTCAAGCGAATAGAAAAGAAAGACAGCTGTGAAACAGCTGTGGTTGTGTAAATTGCTTCCTTGTCCTCATTTGTAAGTCGCTTTGGATAAAAGCGTCTGCTAAATGACTAAATGTAAATGTAATGTAAATGAAACATAACCAGCTTTGTCTTTTTGTAGGAGACGCACTTAAGATATTTTTAGGGTAAGAGGTTTTTGAGTTATTGCCGTCAATCGTACTGGTTTTGATTCACCGCAATGTAAATATAGCTGCAGCTATGTGACGTTGCGCGACCCACCTTTGTTCACTGTGCGACCCACTAGTGGGTCACGACCCACAGTTTGAAAACCCCTGTATTAGCACACGTTTAATCTCCTTTGTTAAGAGCAGAGATTTGTGTCTAAACTATTTCTAAATTCAGTTCTAATCTCCAGCAAAGGAATAAATAAACAGTAATAATGAAGTGTGGTCAGAGTTATATCCAAACACACGTCCTGTTCTTATGCCCCATATGCTGATGCAGACGTCTCCAAAACCCCACAGCTGGACAAATCATATAGTGGACAAATCTATAAATATGCATTTAATACTGCTAATAGAAAATAATAATTTCTGGATCATTTAATCCTTTAATTGTTTTCATCTGTAATTTGTGTGTTGCTGATCATCCTGTGTGTGTTTACCAGTGTGTAACCTGCATAGACGCATATCTAACACGCTCGGCTGGACTTTAGAGCAGCTTTTAGTTGGTCAATGAGGCAGTCTATTTCAGTTCCTCAAAACAGCAACGCTCCAACAATATACTGTCTTTTTTCCCCCCAGAATTGATATGGTATTGCAAAAGTATTGCACTTGTTCTAACTCTTTTCTAGTTTCTTTCCTCTGTTGAATATAAAATGCAATATAATAAAAAATGTTGGAAACTGGTAGTCATTGAAATCTATGGTCATGTTTCCTACTATAGAAGGCAATAGTACAGAGCGCCTAACATTTTTCAAAATATCTTCTTTGTGTGTTAACTGAAGGCGAGTACATGTAGAGTACATTTAACCTTTTGGGTTATCCATTTTAAAAAAATTAGCCTTTGCTTTTATGAATTTACTCATATTTATATTTATAAACACATCAGATTGGAATTGCATATAGTTGAAGTCAGAATAATTCGCCCCCTTTGAATTTTTTTTCTATTTCCAATATTTCCCATGTGACAACAGAGCAAGGACATTTTCACAGTATGTCTGATAATATTTTTTTCTGTAGAGAGTCTTAATAGTTTTATTTTGACTAGAAGAAAAGCAGTTTTTATTTTTTAAAGCCATTTTAAGGTAAATATTATTAGCTTTATTATAAGCTATATTATTTTTCCATAGTCTACAGAACAAACCATCGTTATATAATAACTTGCCTAATTACCCTAACCTACCTAGTTAACCTAATTAACCTAGTGAAGACTTTAAATGTCACTTTAAGCTGTATAGAAGTGTCTTGAAGAAGAGAAAATAAATCAGTTATTAGAGATGAGTTATTAAAATTATTATGATTAGAAATGTGTTGGAAAACAACTCTACGTTAAACAGAAATTGGGGAAAAAATAACAAGGGGGCAAATAATTCTGACTTTAACTGTATGATAGGAACTACTCTATTATGACGCCATAGAAACACAAATAATGAGTGATTATTTAGCAACAAACAAACTCGAAATACTGTGACATTCAGTTACTCTTTTCTCTCACAACATTAACACGAAAAACTAATATAGTTAATAGTTGCTCTGGTAAAACAGCTGTTATAATATAAACAATTAGCTGTATCTTCTACAACTATACTACAACAGAGCACAATCTTCTACTGTAGTAAAACTAAAGTTTTCTAACGTGTATCAGTTCATTATAACGTTAGTTATAATATGCTAAAGTGTTCATTGACAGAGTTCATTTATTAATGTTCCTTCAGCTTAACTTGGTCTTTTTAATCATCAGGGGTCACCACAGCAGAATGAACATCCACTCCACACAGAAACGCCAACTAACGTTAGCCCAGCTGGGAATCGAACCAGCGACATTCTTGCTGCGAGGCCACAGTGCTAACCACTGCGCCACCGTGTCGCCCATCGACAGAGTTGTGACGTAAACACTACAATATAGTATTATACGCTATTGAAGTACGATAGTAACGTTATATTTTATATGTGATCGACGTCAACTGTCATTCCTACCAACGGACGAGAATGTATGTAACGTAAGCTTTGCCTTTACGTCTCTCTACATTTAAGATTGAGCAAATATTTATGAGCTTGATAAATCCAACCTCAAAATAGCCCTCAAATTACACTGAAAATAAAAATATTCAATAAAACCCAACATTTTGAACAGAAAACCGCTGAAAACTTACTGATTTCCGTCGAGTTTAAATCCTCATCAGTGATTTGTTGTTACCTCAGGTCAGGTGTTCCATATCAGGCCTACAAGATTATCGACTTAAAGACAAGTAAATTGTAAAAGTAAATATATAAAATGAATAAATAACGCGTAAAAATATACGGTCAGCTTCCACAAACATTTCCCAATACACCGATCGATCGATCTACTCCTCCAGTCTGTCGTGTCGAGCGTTATTGGTCGAGTGTGTCACAGCCAACTCTCGCCAAAAAGTGGGCGGAGCGATTCACTCACAGCGCTGAATCTGATTGGTGTTTCCACATGGCTTTATTGTTATTATTCTGATTGGTTACGTTATTTCTTACTCGTTAAATGTATTTAAATGACAAATATCTTATGTTTTCATTATTTTTACTTCTTTACTGTCCTCTCATTTTGAAAAGCTTTCATTTTTACCACTCATTTTAGTCTCAAATAACAATACTATAGTAATATGCGGCAAAATACTACAGTATTTTAACCACACTATAGTAAAGTGCATTACTTTGTAAATAGTATAGTATTTATAACATATAATTTGTTAACAGATGCTCCAGCATGCAGTAGTATTAACTATTAGTAAGGTGAAAACTGCAACATACTTTAGTTTTTACTACAGTAAACTGTGGTGTACTGCAGTATAATATACCCTACAGTTGTATAAAACTGCATTGAATCTTTTGTTATATTACTATAATTTTATTACCATCGCAACTATAGAATAACTACAAATAATACCATATTATGGTTCAAAATCACTACAGTATTTACTATAAATATTAAAGTGTATTATAGTACTTTAAACTCTTTTAATGAATGCTGCAGCATACTGTAATATTAATTATAGTGAACTGATAAACTGTAATAAATACAGCAGTATACATTTCGTTTTTACCACAGTAAACTGTGGTGTATTGTAGTATAATACACACTAGTTGAAGAAAGCTACATTATTGGCTCATTTGTTTATACATTTTTTAACACTGCAACTACAGAATGACTACTAATAAATTGTAATCTAGTTCAAAAACACTACAGTGTTTACTATAAAATAATATAGTAAAGTATATTATACTACATTATAGTATTATAAACGCTTTGTTAATGAATGCTGCAATATACTGTAGTATTAACTATAAGTAAGGTGAAAACTGTAGCATAATTTGGGTTTACTACAGAACACTGTGGTGTATTGCAGTATAATATACCCTATATGTTCATGTTATTTTTTTTTTTCAAGTCAGTTTTCAGGATTATTATCAGATATCACTGCAGTGTTGTTGGACAGAAATGATGTGAAATAGTACACATGCTTTAATACAAGAAAAGCACGTTCTTTAAAAACAGTGCCGCATTTTAAGGTCCGTCTGAGCAGTAGGGAGTTCAGGCAGGACTCAGAAGGAAAGGCTGTGTTCCAAACCCTAGTGTGCTTCCCTGCTGCTCTGCTGACTAGAAAACACACCGATGCTGCCTTAATATGCGGCAGTGCTGATATGTGCTTATGGATTTCACTTATGTCCTGTTTAATTGTGAAACATTATTAACACATTCATTCATCTTTGGCTTAGCTCCTTTATTCATCAGAGGTCACCACAGTGGAATGAACCGCCAACTATTCCAGCATATGTTTTACACAGCGGATGCCCTTCTAACCGCAACCCAGTACTGGGAAACACCCATTTCGTGTCACCCACACACACACACTCATACACTACATCCAATGTAGTTGATCAGTTCCCCTATAGCGCATGTGTTTGGACTGTGGGGGAAACCGGAGCACCCGGAGGAAACCCACACCAACACAAGGAGAACATGCAAACTCCACAGAAACAGCAACTGACCCAGCCAAGACTCGAACCAGCGACCTTCTTGCTGTGAGGCGATTGTGCTAACCACTGTGCTACCCACCGTGATGCTTCAATAGTATATTAGTGTTACTAAAAAAAGCTGTGTGTGTGTGTGTGTGTGTGTGTGTGTGTGTGGAGGTGTGATGGGCAGCATATGGTCTCTTCATGTTCCAGATGGAGTGTGTTTTCTGTCCTGGTCATTGGTCACTGATCTCTCTCTCTGTCTCTCTCACACACACACACACACACACACACTCTCTCTCTCTCTCTTTCTCATACACACACGCTCACGATCTTACTCTCACATTCACACACATAAACACACTCAAACACAAATGTTAACAAATAAAAAATAATAATCAGTGATTGCAGATGTGTTTAAATATGTAATGTATTACATTGAGAATGTGTGTTTAGGGATATGTAATGTTCATTAAAAGTGTTGTCAAAGTTACACACACACACACACACACTTAC